TTATATGCGGTAGGCATCAAAGACTGAATGTTAATTCAATGATCGGTACGATCCCCAGGCAAGGTATACAAGATATACACAACGGCAGGTAACAATATGTCAATCAATTTTCAGTATCCAATCTCAGGCTTAATTTCATCTGATTGACAGGGGTTCACAGACCAGGTAAAATTGAGGGAGGTGCTTATTTCCCCCCCCCCTTTAAAGATGTTTTTTTTTTTTGTTTTACAAAAGGAAACAGTACGCGAAAATACGACGCCTAAATATTTAAACTCTTCAACATTTTCTGTAACTAAATTGTCATAATAAAATTTTCTTTTTAACATTGGACCTTTCGAAAATACAAGAATCTTTGTTTTTCAACATTTACTTTCAATTTCCTTTGTGAACAATATAATTAACATATGATAAACACAGATTATCAAACGCAAAACTATTTACTTTCACTTTAAGTTTTTGAATTTGTATTGTTTTAAGTGGAAATTATTCATTAAGTAAACTTTGCATTTAACTGACCAACGTATTATGAAATACTTTTTTTAAATAAAAAAAAAAAACAAAGTATTTTTCAAACAACCAAATATTTCATGAATAAGCGCTTGTCTTGGATTGAAAATGGCATTGCTTGGATCAGAAAAATCGTCTCTCTGATTTTTTTCTTTTGTAAACTTATAGTACATGTTTTTTTTTAAACTGTCTAACACATTAGAAGTTAGCTGAGTCATGAGTTCTTTTTTACAAATGAAAAAAAAAGTATGAATTGAGTGACAAAGAATTAATCTAACTGATCAAGTTTTGATATACTTGTCGTCTGAATTACAGGAAAACGATCCATTGCTTCGGGGACGATTGCGTTGTTCACTTGTTGAGAAGTCTGATAGATAATATTGAGCAGTGTGTATTATACTAATGTTCTATAGAACTGACACAGTGCATATGGAATAAAAAAGAAAAGTGTCATTAAATATTGCTCAGTTAACAAATCGAAAGAAAATGAGGCATTCGTTTCTTTGTCACACAGCAGGTTAAATACTGAACATTAATTTTCTGTAACAAAATACGTAAACTTTTCCCTTATGATACCATGATTACATCTCGGGATTGCAAGCGCTTCTTGCACTCCAAGGTTCCAGGACTCAAAGAAAACTTTAATATTCGGTTTCTATTCGATATGTATTAGGCTTTTCAATTATATATATATTAAATCACCAATTTTTTTTGAGACTGTACTTGACCTTCTTGATTTCTCAATTTCCAAAATATACTTCTAATGTCAGCTCCAGAAATCGATAAACCGGTTTTCATATATATATCTGACATTTATTAAGTATAAACTAATTAATGTTATTCCATTGTAGGCATTAAAAGATAATGGAGCTGAACTTTCCCTGACACTTTGTAATATTTTGTATTGCAACAAAGAATAAAGAAAAAGTACAAAGGAATTTTCATTGGAATTAATAAATGTAATCTTTTCTATAAACATTCTTGAATTGTCCCACTGTGCAACTGATAATTTTAATAACTGTATTACATTACCCCACGATCAGAGCCGTCTAGTCGGGTTAAGCTTTTGAATCAACAAACACGAAATTAAAATTTTGTATTACTTTTCACTTTTGCAGCGGTTATCTTTCTTTTCGCTTTCTTCGAGAACTAAAAGTATATACACCCAGATTTAATGTAATATTGATATCGATTTTCAGGTAAAATGATTAAAAATATGAAGACATTGTTAGATTACCTAAGAACTCTGCATATAAAGTTAAGAAAAGAAATTGTTCAGGTGTTAGAGAAATTCTCGGAGGAGACCCGCAATTTGTACCGAATTCGTGCAAACTGAAAAAAAGTCAAACTGTTTTTTACTTAAGCTCAACTAATTCACTCCCATTGCATTGATTTATTTTCTTTTTTTGAAAATTTCTCCGGGGTTAGCCATAATTGATCTGCAGTGCATTATTTAGAATGGAAAAAAAAGAACGATTGTTGGGTCCAGCGCTGTTTACAATAGTACACAAACAAACCCTGAGCTGCGGGCTGTATTTAATGGGGTATAATTGAGATTCCTTGGTGACTGAGTTTGTATGAATCTGGACTATCTACAGCCGCCGATTCAAAATACCGAATCAATCTATCGCAGTCTGGTTTTCTTTCTAACCACTCACAAAGACCATTTTCAACATGCTTAGAGCCTTTTGAGAAATGAATTCACCAATCATAAAGGACGGATAATTGATGAATTCAAAAGTGAATTTAAACTAACTTAAAATCTTCAGATGGATTTCAATTGAAATTCGCTCGTATTGAAATAAACTTTTCAATCGATATGATAAATATATTCCACTTTGGAATCTAGAAGAAAAATTAAATACACATTTAGAATTCTTTTGTTATCATGAAAGACCTTATGATTTCAAAACACAAAGCGTGTGGAAATTGTGGGCATTGTGTTATGCCACTGTGTTGGGTATGTGATATTCACAAATCTCTTTGACATGTATTATGGTGCAACGATCCGGGCCAGAACCTCGGAAAGAGGGGTGCGAAAAGTCCTGTCTTGCGCGCTAGTAATGGAACGGGAGCTTTAAACAATGTTTTCACTTTTCGTTAACAACAGAAAGAATCCTTAGGAATATTGATAATTAAAAGTGGCAAATAATAAAATTCTTAAGACTCGCTGTTTTTTACTCAACAGCCTACAGGGAATTAAAAAATAAAATAAAGTTCAAAGGTGATTAAGTGAGTTGTGCTGGATTACGGTTTCACGACATATTTGAGAGGGACTTTATTTTGTCATTGGGATGTAGCGGGAATGATGATGGAGTTACGTCTCACCCCCATGACCGGAGATGGGAGGGACTAGTATAATCTCATTGTGTTTGCTTCTTACCCTATGTGTTCAGCCCACGGGTGAGTAATTTTACCTGTACACATATTTTCGTATTCCCTACCATTCTTTTATTGCATATACATGTGTAATTCTGTTTTTTTTTTTTTTTTTTTTTAAAAACAAAAACAAAAACAAATGTTTAGTTTAAAAAATATATAATAAAACGCAGAAGTTGTAGTATGTGTGTATTTATACATATTGTGTAACCAGCTAAGAAATAAATCACACACAACGCAACATTTTTTTACCCAAGTGAAATACATCCCTTCATATCGCTTTTCTTTGGCTGACATTTTTGTGTTTCAAAGTAAATAATTTTAAGAATATACTAAATAATTAGCTAGAGATTTACAAGAGTAAATGGAATTGTTTGGCAATCCTGCACTAGTGAACCATTTGTAAGCACTTTATTGACGACCACTCTGCTATGTTTTCTTGCCCTCTGTCCAGACTTAATCATTTAAGTGCCTTCTTCATCGACAATATCTTAAATGTCAAACAATTCTCGTGAAGTAAAATCTTCAAATGGAAGCTTTATATGGGGTGTTTTGGGGGGTAAAGAATAGCCCCAGATTATAAAGCTTTTTAATATTCGAGAAGTTTATCAATATCAAAGTGGACGGGACATGGAAGTTGCACCGGTAGTCATTTTGGCACGATACCTGAAGTAAGCAATGCATAAAAAGCAAACAGACGTATGTCACTCGTCAAATTCTACTTCCCAACGAATATCAGGGAAAACATTTTGAATACTCAGTAATCTAACAGAGAAATAGTTTAAAAGGACAGAGAAGATGTTGAATCCATTAGAGAAAGTCAGTGCGTTACTCATTTCTCTGGGTCTCTGGAGAAATGAAGTTAAAGTCATTTGCTTAATTATTAGAATGCACTTCTCAACTTTTCCGTCTCTCATAAATGATAAGAAAATAAACTGCAATACATTTATCAGATATAGAATAGAGGTTAAAGGTGTACATAGCTATCTTGACGTATCCAGTATGGAGATGAATTAATTATTTCTAATATTTTCTTTCGTAATCGATGGAACGCTTTTAATCATAAATATTTTACAAGAGCCTTACGTAATATTGAATTTCAAGGGTCCCTCTTAGTGTGCACGTATAATGATTTGGCTTAACCAACATTTATTTGCATGACCTACCCCTGAAATCCTATGACTGAAGTTAAACAATTGACAAAGCTCGTTCTTTATTAACATGTCTAGATGGTTTGTTGTTTTTTTTGTTGTATTATGTCATCCTAAAAGTGCTTTTAATTTTCCTACACGGGTGCTGAGATATGGTAATATAAGAGGAGGTAAGAGTCGTCTGTGGTCGGCAGTCATAATTTATCATTACGTCATTATATGGAGAAAGACTTGCATAATAATAAGTCAGGGATCAATTGTTCATAATTTTAAAGACCAGTGTAGACCTTCTTCTCGTGTTACAAGATGGAACACTATTCCTCCGATATTAGCACGTTGTGTTTCAATAAATCTTAAGTGGACCCATCCAATATTGTGCTATGTAACTTGTGGTCGAACATGTTCTAGATGTAGACCGTAAATGTAATTAAATAAATCCTATGTATATATTGTATATTGTGTTCAGATTAACGGTGTAAAATTTACTTGGAAAGGATAATCAAAGGTGATTATTGACATTGTATACCAAATTATTAATTCATCGATATTCAGACTTTGATTTTGATGTCTTTTTATTTATTTTTTTATTTATTATTTTTTTTTTTATCTCACCTCTCTTTAATCATAAGTAGGCAATACATTCCATGCATTGACGGCCGTTTTCCCCCCGTGATCGCTTTTACTAGCAATTAAATTTTTCAGCTACATGAAAGAATTCATAAAGAATTTACGTTTTAATAGTGTCCAATATTAACATTTTAAAAGAAAGAGAACATTACTAAAACAGATCTTGAGCGTTAATTATAGTTTAAGCATTTTAACAATGTTTACCTCGACTATAAAGTAAACAAGTACTACTTAATTAGTAGTCTCTGCAAACGTTTTATCTTTTTTAAAACATGGATTGGAAGAAAATCTGTCTTGTTAATTACATCTCTAATTACATCTCTCAATTAAACGCCAATGAGAGCTCAGACCATTAATCGTTTACTTAAAATTACCACTCCGAAATTTGCTATCGACAAAAGAAGTAAATACTAAAGAAACTTTCACGTTTGTTATATTACACACAGATAATCATTTCATTGTGACGTAGTTTTACGACAATGTTTTTAAATGGAGGTTTATTTCTTACAAGTTTATTTACGATATATTTTATTTTCTCCCCGTTTACAATGAATCTGGCCTATATTTTATTCAGCTAATATGTTTTAACTATCATCTGTAATATTACACATACTGCCCTCCTCCTCCTTTTCAGACTTAACTAATTAACTTCATACCAAGAAATCAATTACTGAAACCAACTCGACGATCAATCTCTTTTTGAAACCAACTTGACGATAAAACTCGTGAAATTCAAAAAAAAAAAAAAAATCTTTTTAGTCAATTTCCAAAACAGACCTTTTATTCTTTATCTCTCACACATGTGTGAAGTTCTTATAACTCTCTTTGCTTGAAAGAAATCTCCTATGACTTATGATCTATCTATTCAAGAAAATTACTTGTATATATGTTAGAACTTTTCGGAAAGAAACGTTTAAATTGCTTTTTAGAGATTTTTTTGGGTATCTAGAAAAATAAATCTTTTTTTGCCATAAACTAGACATCTACTTGTATGAGAAGATATTTATGTCGCCAATGAACAGAGATTTATTCCTTAATTCCAGAATGCTTTTAAACAAAAATTTCAATAGACTTTGACTCTAAGGTATCTCTTTCGCAAAACAATAGGTCGTCTCATAAAAGGGATATCTCTAAGTATTCAGAGACATTTCTTGAAGTGATTAGTCACCTAAAGTTAAAATAGATATCTATTTGATTAGAAATCTCCGTGTTTTAAAATATCTCTTTGCTTCAAAAGACATATTTTAACATTCTTTTTACAGAGAGATATTTCTCTGATACAAGAAATATACCTGTAAGGAAAAAGTTTTTTTCTTTATTGCAAGAATTATCCCTTCTATTTTGGAAGAAAAAAAATGTCCATAACTTGTAGTGATTCCTTGGTTTAGGGGTGGATAATTAGATCGTTTATCTGGGCTATGGTCAAGCCAGATCCAGCTTTATCAATTTTGAATGACAAACTAATAATTTTTTCCCTATATTTCAGTCCTCACTTGCACATTTCCGTTTACCGGAACTTGGGTGACTAGCAATCGTGGAACATGGACTGTGTCTTCCAGCTCCATTCAGAACTTCAAGCTGAATGTGGATACTGCAGGGTCCAGTTTGTGGACCATGGACTGCTATTCATCCGACGGTACCAACTACGTCCTTAAGTAAGTGGACAATTACTGGAAATGACATAGGTCCTCCGGCATGTTCACAATTAACAAAAATGCCTCTACATGCAACACAAGCTTTTTTACCATCTTGCTATTATCAGCGAGGAGTTCATTTCAAGGGCAATTGTTAATTCTTTAAAGAATTTATGAACACTTGTGCAAATCTTTGAGAGTACCTTTTATTGCCCTTTTTCTTTTGAAATTATATATATCGACTCTCTTTGAAAACTCACAATTTTTCTGAGATTTCAGTAGCTTATTAATCTCATGTACCTTTTTATTCTGAGACATTGAATGGAAAAAGAATCTGCATACAAAGATCGCAGACTATTTGTATGAGGTGTTATGGAAATTGCAAACATTACGTACAAAATGTTAGATTTCTTGTGGAAATTAAAAGACAGTGCAGATTCAAGTCAATAGAAGAACAAAGTCCAGTTATTACAAGCGTTCCTGCCCACTGTAATTTTTCTGAATTCATTTATTCCAGTAAAAAATCAGAACATAAACCAGAGATTTTCCATGACAGAAACGACAACATGTATATAGTAATCAAATATCTCGTCATTTTATTTTATGCTTTAGTTTAATCAATATTTGTTCATCAGAATCTGAATCGATTGGGTAAAAGGCAGTGCCTTCAAATACCCTCTCCATAGAAGTCAATGTGTGCTGTACTGCATATACAAATAATATGTTCTGTATCTATTCGTAATACATAAAAATACTAATAAATATCATCTTCTGATTTTTAAAGTTTTTTCAAAATGTATTAAAAAGAAATCCACCAAAGAAAGAGGGCGTACAAGGCGAGGACAATCCCCCGCTCTGGAACAATATATTTCTTAATTTTCAAAGTTCACGGAAACGTTATATTTTTCTAAAATAATGTTTTCAGTAATGTCATCTTCAACACATTTGATTCAATTATATTTTATTGAATGACTTTTTGATTAATAATTTGTTATTAAAGTTAACAGTAAAGCATATTTAGTCGAAAATGGGTTTATTAGAGCCATAAAAACGATTTTTGAAATTTGCTTTGCACGCCTTCATTCTTTATGATATTGGCAATTCAAGTGATTTGCTTTAAGAATAGAAAGAAAACAGCATCCTTTGGTATCTTGCACGAATGTCTGTTAAGGGACTCCAATTTTTTTGTGAGGAAACTTGTTAAAATAGCAATACTTTAAGGACAAATTCTTGGGGAAAAAATATGTCATTGAGGAACATGTCGTCTGACCTTAGTCAAATAGTGACCTCTGAGATATAACCTTGAAACAAATTAACAATACCATGGCACACCACCTAAACAAAAAATTGGTTGTGTAAGAATATATCTCAGTTCTCCTCTGAATCTTCAAACATCAAGTTCTGGCAGTTTTTCTAAAACTCAACGGACACAGCTAGATCTTTCAATTGTTACCCTAGCAAAATTTTTTAACCAAACAATAGTAATAAACTTTGAACTATTAGTTCGTACCTTTTGTAGTTTCAAAGATATTGAAAGTATGTTTGACCTTTGAAATATGACCATGGATCAAGGTCATTCTATACTGTCTATTTTAGTTAACTATGTAGTGTGATGTCATTTGGAAAAATTATAAATAAATTAACGCTGGAAAAACTCGTACAAGGGGACGGATTAACTGATGAATGCTCGAACTGTCGATCGGATGCTAGAAATCCAATATACACCTACCTGTAAAATTTTGATCTACTATTTATTTCAGCTTGTACAAAAAGATATTACAGCCGTTAAGTATAATAGGTTGTTATCGATGACAAAATACATCTCCGCTCATCCACTAGTGAATTCATAAAGACACCGATTTCTATGGCACGCAAAATTCACAAAAATGAGATAAACATAGTTTCACAGTTGATAAACGAGGTTTAGCGACTGTAAACTATAGTTTACGGACCGTAAACTATATGTTAACGACGTTAATCTGTATTTCACATCTTTAAACCATAGTTAAAGCCTTATCTTCGTTTCACAGTTGAAAACTATACTTAACACTGAAAACAATCATTTGCGATTGCAGAACATGGTTTATCTATGGCACGCCAAATTCACAAAAATTAGATAAACACAGTTTTACAGTTGATAAACTAGGTTTGTCGATTGTAAACTATAGTTTACGAACTGTAAACTATAGTTAACGATTCGTTTACTATACTTTTCATCTGTAAACTATATTTAACAGTAGTAAAGTGTAGTTTACGAATGCTAACCTAAGTTTATCTTTCTGTAAATAAACTTAAACGATAGATTTTATTGATAAATATAGATTCTCATTTGTAAACTATAATTTACATTCGTTAGCCATAGTTAAGAGTTGTTAATCATAGTTTCACAAATCGTGTAACTATATTTATCAGATAAACTATGTTTTACATTCGTTAATTATAGATTTCGGTCGTAAACCATAGTTAATTGTCAGTGGTACTCATAAACTGTATTTAACATACGTAAACTATACTTAACGATCATAAACTATAGTTTTGATAGATAAACTATGATTCACATTTGCCAATCACAGTTTATCGTCATAAACTATAATTCACACTGTAAACTATAGTTAAGAGTTGTTAAATATAGTTTATGAATCTAAACACTTGTTAACTGTTAACGATAGTTTTCAATTCAAAATCTCGCGGCACCAATCGCTAGAGGAAATACTGATTGTGTGTCATTGCCGTAAGTTCTGTATAAAAACGAAACATATAAACAGAATTACTTGAGTAATTTCTCTTCTTGATAATCTTAAGTCAAGCTTTCAGCAACTCTTGATACCAGCAATGCTCAGTCATTCTTGTTTGATCAGCGCAAAGATTGGAAAGACGGCAAGGATAAATGTCAGTGATTAATTGCGTTGCTGATGAAGCAAAAATTTGATCACAAACCGTCAAAATGCATTTTTCCCTATCTTTCTCTTTTAAATAAAACATAAATTTTAATTAATAATTGTCCCGTCATTTTCTTTTTATATCCAACTAGATTTGCTTTAAAATGAAAGAAAATTTTCTTGTAATGTCAACAAATATATATATTTAACAACCAATGAAAATAATCGTTGTATAGCCAAATCTTTAACTTTTTATGTTGTAACTAGAATTAACCTATATATAATTTACGGGCAAAACTTGTTAACTATAGTTTTGATCGTAAACTATACTTTAGAGTCGTGAAATATAGTTTTACAGAAAACTGTGTCTCTCCGATACAAATCAGATATTCTGGCGATAAATTGTGTTTCTCAACTGTAAAACTATATTTATCACAATTTTGTGAATTTGGCGCCTTAAATATTTGTAAACTATCGTTTACAACCGTAAATTATAATTAACACACGTTAACTATGGTTTAGAGTTGTAAACGATAGTTTACAAATCGTGAAACCGTATTTATCAGATAAACTGTCTTGCAAACGCAAATGATTGTTTTCGGTGTTAAGTATAGTTAACACTTGTGAAGCATAGATTAAGGCGTTAACTATGGTTTAGAGATGTAAAACATAGATTAACATCCTTAACTATGGTTTACGGTCCGTAAGCTATAGTTAACAGTCGATAAACCTAGTTTGTCAACTGAAACTATGTTTAGCTCATTTTTGTGAATTTGGCGCTATTTGATAAATACGGTTTCACAACTAGTTAACTATGGTTTACAACTCTAAACTATAGTTAACGAATGTTAATTAAGGTTTACGGCTGTAAACTATACTTTGCTTATATTTAAGGCACCGAATTCATAAAATTGTGATAAATATAGTTTTAATTTGAAAAACACAATTTAACACCAGAATCTCTGATTCTGTATTGAAGATGCACAATTTTCTGTGAAACTATATTTCACAACTCTGAAGTATAGAACAATAGTTAGCATATGTTTTGTCTGTTAGTCTTAGATACAATTAATAATCATAGATACAGCAACCTTTTGCGTTTATCAGACATTGTTGGTATCAAAAGAGTTGCTAAAAGCTAGACTTATAAATTTAAGATTATCAATTACGCAAGATATGACATGTTCTGATATGACGCTTTTTTATGTATAGAACTTACGGCAATGACACACATTTACTATTGCCTTTCACGATTGGTTCCGCGAGATTTTAAATTGAAAACTACAGTGTATCGTTAACAGTTAAGAGCTAGGTGTTTAGATTCATTAACTATGTTTAACAACTCTTAACTATAGTTTACGAGTGTGATTATAGTTTAAGACAATAAACTATGATAAAAATGTGAATCATAGTTTATCTGTCAAAACTATAGTTAACGATCGTTAAGTATAGTTTAAGTCTACTGGATATAGTTTATGAATATTAATGACAGTAAACTATAGTTTATGACCGAAACCTAAAATAAACGAATGTAAAACATAGTTTTTCTGATAAATATAGCTTTAAGATTTAATTGTGAAACTATGATAAACAACTCATACTATGGTTAAACTACAGTTTACAACCGTTAGAATAGTTTTAAAGATGAAAACTATAGTAAACGAATCGTAAACTACAGAGTGAGAAACCATTAAAGTTTATCGTGACATGGAAAATAAACATATCCACAGTTCAAATTATAGAATACAAGTAAATTTTTTTTTATCCAATACAAATATTAAAGAATGAAAATGTTGTATTACACAATACAAATGGAAACTATAAAATATAAATAACGAAATATAAATACTTTTATAGTATATAGGTAAGGGATGATACCTGGTTAGTAAATTTTATACCTGGCGAGGCGAAGCCGTATCTGGTCACTACAAAACTATGTAACGAATTTACCCCATCGACGAAATATTTATATATTCATTGTCTGTGCTTTGTAAAATTGTTTCTCCCCGCTTCATCACTCGCATACGGTGCCTATTATGATGTCACGTGACAGTTAAGAAGATTAAGGAACTCGAGTTGTTCCAAGAGTTACAAAAGAACGATAGCTCCGTATCGACGTGTTTTGATTTTCAAGTGACCGTG